ATGTGAGTTTTATAATACCTTCATGCAGTTATTTTATAAGGACTATTGTTTTATTTGTAAGGAATATTGTAAGGTAATTTTGTATTTCGTAAAGAAACTATGTACTTTTTAGTAACCAGCAGTACTACAGTACAATATGGTGCAGTACAGTTAAAAAAAATGAAGACAGATTCAATTTATTCATAAAGCCTAAACCAATACAATTTTCCCCTTAGTTACTGTATATCTGACATGGCCCATATCACCGCTATTAACAATGCTTACTTGATTGTGCATTATGAGTATTGCAACTGTTAGATTAAACTGCAGGGGCTTGGGGGGTTACAAAAAAGAAGGGACGTACTCAATTATTTGAAGCAAAAAGAAAATTCAGTATATATATATTGCCTTCAAGACACTCAACTTACAGAAGAATGCAATTGAGTTATTTTATTTTATTTTATTTATTTATTATTTTATTTATTTATTTATTTTTTTTTTGGGGGGGGGGGGGGCAAATCCTCATTAGGCCAGGAAGATCGTTCTCAAGAGGTACTGCCTTACTCTTCAATAACAACTTTTAGAATACAATTTTAAGTGATGCATGTGATACCATTGGTAATAATATGGTCGTTGAATTCATCATAGGTAAAAAATTATCGGTTATTACTGATTAATGTGTATGGAGCAAATAGAGACAGCCCCACCTTTTATGAATATCGATGATATTATTAGAAACTTCTAATGAGATTTTGTTATATTTATGGGAGATTTAATTTTAGTTCAAGACACCGAGTTGCATTTCTATACTAAGTTAAACAAACCCAAAGTTAGACAAGAGACTTTACGACTGAAAGAGATCTTTAAATACAAGAGCCATGGAGAGTGAAACATTATTTGCATAAGTCGCGAAGAAAGCGTGGACGACGCCCTCAGTATAAATAACATTTTAGAACACGTGGACAAAAAAAAAAAAAAAAAAAAAAAAAAAAAAACATATCATTATATGCAAGGATCTTATTCACAGTCTACAGCTAGGTTTTTTTAGACCATTATCCCACAAAAACTTTCACACCTTTCACACCTTGGGAAGATACCCTACGGTTTTCCAGATTTAGTCTGGGGCCCGTATTCTAGAATCTCCCTTTAGCGTTAACCCCATAGCGCCGGGAACCGCACATATGCGGTTCATTTTAAAAAATCCTCAGTGCCGGGAACCGCATATACGGGGTTTCTGTGTTTACATGCTTGTACTGTCCTCTGTCGTTTGTAACAATTCATGCTTCTATCACAAGAATAACTCAATGTTAGTTTTTTGTTTACTACCGGCTTTTGAAAGACGTGTAGCAAGAATTAGATAATGAAAAAGCGATTTATTTCAACCATTGTCGAGGTGCTAAGAAGTCAAAATGGCGTCGAGAAGTCCGCAGAAATTATGGTTTGAGAAATGTTCTAGTCTTGTTAGAAAATTCAGACTTCGGGGAAGTGTCCTTGATAGATTTTGATACTCCGATAACTTCAAAGATTATGTACCTTTGGCTAGTATGAGTTGTCAGAGAGCAGATTCGGACGTGGGGCTTGATTTATGAAAAACGCTGATGATACTAACGGCAGTAACCAAGCAGACGACAATAGTAATTGGAAGGGCTATATTGCTGATAAAATGACTGTAAACGTTCCGTGGCAAGTCAGGCTTAATGTTGCCTTGTGTGCTGTATCAACATTGTCTTTTCCTGCTTGTGCATAGAGACAAATGTCATATGTTACGTTGTACTGCATCAACATGTCTTTTCCTGCTTATGTATAAGTAAAAATGACATATGTTTACTTGTGTGCTGCATCTACATATGGCTTTTCCTGCTTGAGTATAAATACAGATGTAATATGTTTACTAGTGCGCTGTATCAACATGTCTTTTCCTGCTTGTGTATTAGTACAAATTCCACGTTTGCTTGTATTTTTATGATGCAATTTTTATTCACGAAAGTGTAATATTTGCTCATGATATTGTTTGTATTCTTGTATACATGTATGATTTGAGTGCAAAACAAAATTTTATGAGTATCCTGGTTCAGTTGATTAAAAAACTATAGAAGAACTATTGAAAAAGGCACTTAATTTACAATCTATTTGTAATTATAAACGTAATAAGGTGGAAGTCTTCCAGTCAGCTAGCCCGCCCGTATATTGTGCAACTAGCTGACGTGATGAAGGTTTTTAGGTACAGCACGCATCCCAGGAAATTTATTATAACTCAAAAACTAAATAAGATATCTTTCTGAAATTTTCTGACATTATTTAAAATATATTTCGAATGTTTCTGAGAAAATTTCAACAAATTGTTTGGTAAAGTGAAAAAGAATGTGTATGCTGAAATTAAAGTTTTGTTTTTTACTTCTCTTCGAGAAAAGCAAGTCTCATATTTAAACTCCTGCTTTTTCTACCTAAGTTGATGATTCCTTAAATGTAAGGTTCGTCTGGAGTAACTTTTAGTCTTCCTTAAGCAGCCACCGTGTACTGTTCTCTTGTGAAAATCAGCTCCATGGAGGACTATGTAAACCAACATGCCTACCTAAATTCAAAATCATTAAATTCAAATAGAAAAGCACTCCGAGAGTGCAGAAAGCAGCAGAGTCTCCACCCAATTTTGATTATATAATGATTTAGTTTTTTTATTTTTGATTATTTATTGATTATTGATCCAGATCATCACCAAAAACTAATCATCTGTTACTGGGCCAACTTGTAACAGTTCTTGAAAATTTCATAACAATCGGCCCGTAACTTTTTGAGTTATTTTTGATTTTTGATTATTGACCTTGGTCACCACCAAAAACTAACCACTTCTAAGTTAACCCATTTCTGACCTACCCTGAAAATTTCATCAAAATCGGCCCGTAACTTTTTGAGTTATGTTGATGACAAACAAACAAACAGACAGACAGACAGAGAGACAGACAAACAAACAGGGGTGAAAACAAAACCTCCTTGGCGGAAGTAATACATTTGATCGAGGATAGGCTTTTCTCTGTTGACTAGTTGCATCAGTAGCTGCTTTTCGATATCAGAAAAGGGTTATGACTTTGGTTTTCTCATCCTCCAAACCATTCTTTTCTCTTCTTGGCATACTTGCTTTATTCACTAAATTTGGCTTAGATCAAAACATCCACATACAGTGATAATGTCCATATGCGCTGTTGCATGACTGAAGTTGATCAGTTGACCTCAGTTGACCCCAATTAGTCAACATTAATGAGGCGTTTTTAACAAGGAGGGTGTCACAAAGGCCTACTTTAACCAATGAGGAGCTCGTTTATGTCAGTGTCCCTTACCTAAAGGCTGACTTTCGTCAAAGTAATTCCTTTTCAAAGGAGAGGCTAAAGTGTGGTCTTAGAATACCAGTTCGTTAGGCGTTCCTTTATCAAGGAACACCTCATCAAAGGAAGCCTTTATAAAAGTAGACCTTAGGCCTATTTTAAGGAACATCTTGGAATTCGGGCCTTAGTGGTCACTTGTGATTACTCCATGAAACTGAAAACTGTTCACTTAATCAGTACAAGCAAATGTGTTCACTCATGTGATACATGAGACCACACCTACTCACTGCTAATTATTAATGTTTTCATGGCTTGGCACAAAAGAGCTCCAATTGTGTGTTTTCTCAGTGAGGTGGTTTTTGACTCGACCCGGTGTAACTGAGGGTCCGTGTAACAGAAAGTCCGCCCTCCATTTAGTTATAATGGTCAGGGTTAGCCTGACCTAAGTGGGTCAAAATCTAGGGCTAGGCTGAAGTGTAAAAATGAATGGGAAGCAGGCTCTGTATTATGGAAGACTCTTTGACATGTTACTCCGCCGTGATGATTAAACTCGGGACTTGCCTCGCCTGCCAGAGAACAATCACTGCTTCTCAATATATAGGTCCATTTTGAAAAAATATTCTTGAGGTTGAGGACAAAATGTATCAGTAAAAAAATTGAATCTCTTCATACCCCTTTAGCCCGGTTTAATTTTTGTTAATATTAATAACTAGCGAAAATTATCCAAAAGGGTTGTTATTTTTTAACCTTCTTTACTGAATTCGAAAACGTTCCATACAGCAAGGTGTGAATCAGAACATGTTTGCATTACAACACACTAGATTTATCTTTTCTGTCACAGTAGGTTTAGAAAACCGTTACTGGAAACTCTCCGTACTTATTAAAAGTCTAAAGTTACTCGGTAAGAAATTAAAAAAACCGTGTGCAGGTTGGGTAAGTCAGACAATTTTTCCTGTTTTTGTTTTTTATCTTTCTGTATAAATGGCACTCATAGAAGGGATATCGAAGACCAATGATTTTGCTACATGTACATGTCACCACATCTAAATGGTTGTAGTCTTCTTCAGTGGCACGAAAACCTTTTAAATAATTTTGGCAATATTTGTTACAGTTTTGTATTGTACTAGTAACGTACATTAGAATATGGTGGTTTATTGAGAATAATATTTTCAGCTTTTTATCACATGTCGGTTACTTCGGAGTGGGTGGATGAAATACCCCTTGCCCCAAACCTCGAATATAGATTTCAACTGCTATATCAAACTGTTATAGGATAATTATTTATTGCTATATTTATAAAAGTGTAAAAAGAAATCAATGCACTCTGTCGAAAAAATATTAACATAAAATTTAATTAAAAAATTTGTTGCTGTTGGATAAAAATTGGTTTTGCTACATGTAGAGGTTGATTTGAGGGAACGTATTCGGCAGGGGCGGATCCAGGATTATTTGAAGGGGGGGGATTACGGAACGACAGGCCTCAGATACGAAGCCAATCATCGCCCACTTGTGTTGGTGTAGGGCCTGCTCAAGGTCCCCGAACATTTTTGGTGTTCTGGAAGGTCAAACAATGCCATTTGGTACGGTTTAGAATTATAATTTTACTTGTCAAAATTCCATTTTCAAGAGGGGAATATTGGTGCGGTATATTTTTCAGAAACTGAAGGGGGAGCAGGACCCCCCCCCCCCTGACCCCCCTCTAAATCCGCCACTGGTAGGAAAGTTTTCATAACCCAGTCGAGTCTGTTTTTGTCTTCAGTTTTAGCACTAACATACCAATAGTAAATAGCGTGGAAGTACACTCTAAAACACCGCCGGGAAAAGCTGTGTATATATCATGATAAAATACAATGAAACATGGAATACATTATGTAAATGTTTTGTCGTTTGTTTTCCTTGTAGCTTGTCACAACATCAACTTTTCCTATTAATTTAATTAAAAACGCTGTTTTCACAGTTTTGCGGATGTCCGACTGGCATGTCAATTTAAGCACTGAAATCAATGTAAGACTCGGCGATATCTTCATCGGCGACAATCTGCGCGTAGATATTTTCTTCTTGGCTCTGATTGGAATACTGCAGTTTTTGGTAATAGTGTTCCGCATTCATCTCAGAACAAGTGGTCTGATGTGGATGATCACCGCCCTCACGAGGCATGTAGTCGTCGTTTGGTTCTGAGTATATAGCGTCACGCACGCTCACTGCCCTGATGTTTTCTGTGTAACTAGGGTTGTTGAAAGCCCCCCTCTCCTTGGACTCGGACTGGGCATGTTTTCTGGAATAGAAAAACCGTTTTTAACGCTTATTGACTTATTGGTATTATGTGGATAAGAAAATAATGCCTTGAGTTTTAATTATCTACTATTACTTGAAACTGGAAATAGATATTGGTATTATGTGGATAAGAAAAAATGTCTTGAGTTTTAATTATGGACTATTACTTGTAATTTGATTTGTTTCTTTTTGAAAATTAATTGAATTATTTTTTTGTTTTTAAAAAGTCACATCACGAAAATCCAAGGCTCACTTAATTCATGGACTACGTGTTTGATTCTGTTAACTATTATTGTTCTCTTCATGTAACGTCTATATCATAGAGAGATATGCTTGTTGCATAGTATGTGTAATGAAACGCTTATGTTATACATAAAGAGTTAATTGTATTAAAAGGTCATCAAACCACCAACACGAGCAGAGGAGTAATATGAACTAGATTGAACTAGTAATACAATTAAATGTTCAAAATAATCTCTTTCTTTCCACATACATGAATCACACAAATACATGTAGCACTTAAACTGGTTCAGTTTCCCTTGAATTAAAACAATAACCTAGGAATACACAGTACCTTCTTTTGATGACCACTATCACAATGACAAGTATTGTCACAACCATCACCACTGCTGTGANTAATTAGCTGGCATTAGTTCCAACCCTTTGTAATACTATAAGTATTCCTATTACATATGACGGCCATCTTGGATTTTCTCAAAGTGCCCAAGAATACTGTTAGTTACTCACCACATACATATTGTGTGGGTAGAAAGGATGTGGAAAAACACTCAGAAACCAGCTAAATTTGACAGTGAAAAATTAATCTTTCCAGTTGCCATTAGTTGAATCACCGTATACTAGAATTCCTGTGGCACATGGCAGCCATCTTGGATTTTCCAAAATGCCCAAGAACACTTCGTAGTTACTCACCACAAACATATTATGTGGGTAACAAAGATCTGAGAAGCAGACTTAATTTAATAGTGGACAACGTATCGTTCTAGCTGATAATAGTTGTGCACTAGTATTCCTATGTCTGTTTCTATGGCAAATGACAGACATCTTGGATTTTTTCAAAAAGTCCAAGGGAACTTGTTTGCTATTTGACATATATGAATAAAATGGGTTATAAGGGTGTGGAAAACTTTGAGAAAGTAATTTATTTGATAAAAATCAACATAGGCATATACATATTTCTAAAGAATTCAATAAATTGGCGGCCATTTTGGATTTTTTGGCCAAACGGTAATTTTTTCCGTGGGCTACGGCTCTAATTTGATTTAGAATCTCAAAAGGTACCCACATGCAAAATTTGGTGCTTTTATCCGCCGTGTCACGATTTTTTCCTTAAGCCACCGGACTAGTAAACCAACTAGTGCGTCTTGATGATGTCAACAGGAATGCAAGATGCATGAGAACACGCCTACCTAAATTCAATGAAGACGACTTCACCGATGACGATTTCTTTGGAAGGTTTCGTTTCTCGAAAGATGGCTTCAGCTATTGATGGATTTCATTTTTTTAATTATATAAATCAATTTATTATTAATAAATTAACAAATTAATAAATTTGGCTTAGATCAAAACATCCACATGCAGTGATAATGTCTATATGTACTGTTGCATGATTGAAGTTGATCAGTTGATCCCAATTATACAACATTACTGAGGCGTTTATAACAAGGAGGGTGTTCCAAAGGCCTACTTTAACCAATGAGGAGCTCGTTTATGTCAGTGTCCCTTACCTAAAGGCTGACTTTTGTCAAAGTAATTCCTTATAAAAGGAGAGGCTAAAGTGTGGTCTTAGAATACCATTTCGTTAGGCCTTCCTTTACCAAGGAACACTTCATCAAAGGAAACCTTTTTAAAAGTAGACCTTAGGCCTATTTAAAGGAACATCTTGGAATTCGGGCCTTAGTGGTCCCTTGTGTTCTGGGATTACGCCATGAAACTGAAAACTGTTCACTTTATCAGTCAAGCAAATGTGTTCACTCATGTGATACATGAGACCACACCTACCCACTGTTAATTATCAATGTTTTCATGGCTTGGCACAAAAGAGCTCCAATTGTGTGTTTTCTCAGTGAGGTGGTTTTTGACTCGACCCGGTGTAACTGAGGGTCCGCGTAACAGAAAGTCCGCCCTTCATATAGTTATAATGGTCAGGGTTAGCCTGACCTAAGTGGGTCAAAATCTAGGGCTAGGCTGAAGTGTACAAATGAATCGGAAGCAGGCTCTGTATTATGGAAGACTCTTTGACATGTTACTCCGCCGTGATGATTAAACTCGGGACTTGCCTCGGTCCATTTTGAAAAAATATTCTTGAGGCTGAGGACAAAATGTATCAGTAAAAAAATTGAATCTCTTAATACCCCTTTAGTCCGGTTTAATTTTTGTTAATATTAATAACTAGCCAAAATTATCCAAAAGGGTTGTTATTTTTTAACCTTCTTGTAAACTGAATTCGAAAACGTTCCATACAGCAAGGTGTGAATCAGAACATGTTTGCATTACAACACACTAGATTTATCCTTTCTGTCACAGTAGGTTTAGAAAACCGTTACTCGAAACTCTCCGTACTTATTAAAAGTCTAAAGTTACTCTGTAAGAAATTAAAAAACCGTGTGCAGGGTGGGTAAGTCAGACAATTTTTCCTGTTTTTGTTTCTAATCTTTCTGTATAAATGGCACTTATCGAGACCAATGATTTTGCTACATGTACATGTCACCACATCTAAATGGTTGTAGTCTTCTTCAGTGGCACGAAAACCTTTTAAATAATTTTGATAATATTTGTTACAGTTTTGTATTGTACTAGTAACGAACATTAGAATATGATGGTTTATTGAGAATAATATTTTCAGCTTTTTATCACATGTCGGTTACTTCGGAGTGAGTGGATGAAATACCCCTTGCCCCAAACCTCTAATATAGATTTCAACTGCTATAGGATAATAATTTATTGCTATATTTATAAAAGTGTAAAAAGAAAATCAATGCACTCTGTCGAAAAATATTATAATAAAATTTAATTAAAAAATTTGTTGCTGTTGGATAAAAATTGGTTTTGCTACATGTAGAGGTTGCTTTGAGGGAACGTATTCGGCAGGGGCGGATCCAGGATTATTTGAAGGGGGGGGGGGATTACGGAACGACAGGCCTCAGATACGAAGCCAATCATCGCCCACTTGTGTTGGTGTGGGGCCTGCGCAAGGTCCCCGAACATATTTTTGGTGTTCTGGAAGGTCAAACAATGCCAGTTGGTACGGTTTAAAACTATAATTTTACTTGTCAAAATTCCATTTTCAAGAGGGGAATATTGGTGCGGTATATTCTTCAGAAACTGAAGGGGGAGCAGGACCCCCCTGACCCCCCCTCTAAATCCGCCACTGGTCGGAAAGTTTTCATAACCCAGCCGAGTCTGTTTTTGTCTTCAGTTTTAGCACTAACATACCAATGGTAAATAGCGTGGAAGTACACTCTAAAACACCGCCGGGAAAAAGCTGTGTATATATCATGATAAAATACAATGAAACATGGAATACATTGTGTAAATGTTTTGTTGTTTGTGTTCCTTGTAGCTTGTCACAACATCAACTTTTCATATTAATTTAATTAAAAACGCTGTTTTCACAGTCTTGCGGATGTCCGGCTGGCATGTCAATTTAAGCACAACATCAACTTTTCATATTAATTTAATTAAAAACGCTGTTTTCACAGTCTTGCGGATGTCCGACTGGCATGTCATAAGCACTGAAATCAATGTAAGACTCGGCGATATCTTCATCGGCACCAATCTGCGCGTAGATATTTTCTTCTTGGCTCTGATTGGAATACTGCAGTTTTTGGTAATAGTGTTCCGCATTCATCTCAGAACAAGTGGTCTGATGTGGATGATCACCGCCCTCACGAGGCATGTAGTCGTCGTTTGGTTCTGAGTATATATCGTCACGCACGCTCACTGCCCTGATGTTTTCTGTGTAACTAGGGTTGTTGAAAGCCCTCCTCTCCTTGGACTCGGACTGGGCATGTTTTCTGGAAGAGAAAAAACAGTTTTAACGTTTATTGACACTGGAAATAGATATTGGTATTATGTGGATAAGAAAATAATGCCTTGAGTTTTAATTATCTACTATAACTTGACACTGGAAATAGATATTGGTATTAATATGTGGATAAGAAAATAATGTCTTGATGTCGGGTCCGACATAAAGATCATACGAAGTCGTATGACGTAATGTCTTGTAGTCTAATAGCTCTTGAGTAATGCGGTGGTCTCTGTGTATGACGCCGAAGTAAAGAAATTAAATATGCAATTAAAGGTAGTTTAAGTTTGCGTCATGGACCATACAGATGGATAAGGAATAAGGATATAAGCAATACCTTGAGAGATATACGGGGGAGTCATGTAGAAGGAAGCAGCGGAGGAGGAGATTGGAAGCGACGGAGTACGGAGCTGACGAGTTAAGAGTTGGAGGCTTCACTTAGAATATGTAGTTACCTAGCGTCAACGAATAAATCATTTAACTGGTCATTACGTGGACTTGGGTTTTCCTTGCGCGACCTTACGTAAATCTGACACGAACCGTGGGATCTTTGGATTGCGTTATCCACTAAGTTAGACGAAAACGTAATGTCCTATTTCGAGCCCACGCTTGAATTAAGCGTTCAAAATTATATAAGTTTAGGACATTCATCATAGGCATATGTAAAAGGTTCATTACATTGAGTTTTAATTATCTACTATTACTTGACACTGGAAATAGATATTGGTATTATGTGGATAAGAAAATAATGCCTTGCGTTTTAATTATCTACTATTACTTGTAATTTGATTTGTTTCTTTTTGAAAATTAATTGAACTATTTTTTTTGTTTTTAAAAAGTCACATCACGAAAATCCAAGGCTCACTTAATTCATGGACTACGTGTTTGATTCTGTTAACTATTATTGTTCTCTTCATCTAACGTCTATATCATAGAGAGATATGCTTGTTGCATAGTATGTGTAATGAAACGCTTATGTTATACATAAAGAGTTAATTGTATTAAAAGGTCATCAAACCACCAACACGAGCAGAGGAGTAATATGAACTAGATTGAACTTAAATGTTCAAAATTATCTCTTTCGTTCCACATGTCACACAAATAGCACTTAAACTGGTTCGGTTTCCATTGAATTAAAACAATAACCAAGGAATACACAGTACCTTCTTTTGATGACCACTATCACAATGACAAGTATTGTCACAACCACCACCACTGCTGTCACGCCACCCACTACAGCACCTAAAGAACAGTACAGATACATTGTTATGATTGTCTTAAGCATGAAGTTGCTAGCGTCACTACAAATCTTCAAATATTTGCAAAGGTAAACAGTCCAGAGGCTTTATGTACCGTGGTTTCTGGTTAATGTGATAGCCCAGTCCCTTTCTGGACGTGTCAGGCATATGTCCATTGACGAGCGGTATGAAACTTGAACAATCTCCCAATTATAATTAAACACTTACGGTGACTTACCAAAGAACTGCATGCACTATAAATTAAACGTATCTACCTGTTGGAAGTGCCTGGCGGCTGCTCGGGTTGGACATATTGTCCGCATTACCTATAACCAGAACGAATGTAAACGTGTAATAAGAGGCACCGGAGAAGATCAGCATTGGTCAGAATTGTGCCGGAAGTGACGTGTAGTGGTGTAAGACGTAAAGCTGTGGTCATTTTTAGCTGGAGGTGAACGGGAGAGAAGACATGGACTCGGAGAAAAAAGCAGTTTTTCAAACAACATGGTAAGATAACATCTCTTCTTTACGCATTTTGGGCAGAGAATACTTGTAGAAATAATAGGCACATGATATGAAAACGTGTCACGGAACTTGAAGGTGCAAAATCGTGGTTAATTTGCAGACAACTTGTATAAATAAAAATAAAAATCTAAAAATTCGTCACAATATTAAAAAAAGATACATCTTTGCACATCAGTCGTAGATCAGTACGATTCAGTTGTTTGTCACGAACTCCTGTTTGTCCTGGTTTTTCACAAGGTCCTTCAAGAACTCTAAAAAATCATTATAATTGCAGCACATACCATAAAACGCCCAAAAATACTTAGATATGGACATACAGGTAACAGATTATATAAATGTCAAATTCCACATGATTTACAGCCTCCCGGGAATTCCTTTCCCTTTACGATCTTTGTCGCGCTGGCGGTCGATGCAGCATATATTTCACAACAAGCTGTCTGCAAAATTAAGCACGATTTTGCACCTTCAAGTTCCGTGTCACGTTTTCATATCATGTGTCTATTATTTCTACAAGTATTCTCTGCCCAAAATGCGTAAAGAAGAGATGTTATCTTATCATGTTGTTTGAAAAACTGCTTTTTTCTCCGAGTCCACGTCTTCTCTCCCGTTCACCTCCGGCTAAAAATGACCACTCAGCTTCGCGTCTTACACCACTTGACGTCACACTTAAGGCCCAATTCTGACCAATGCTGATCTCCTCCTGATTACCAAAAACAAAATGGAAAGCCTCAATTGAGGGCTTCGGCTTTGGAAGCATATTGGTTGAGCGGTGCGTGGAAATGATTGCCTCAGTGATCAAAATGCATAGTTAATGACTGCAAATGCACAGATATTATCAAGTTATTCACTTGTTGATCCAGGAAGATGATGTACCCCTTAAAATTTAAATATATTTAATAAAGATAATATAAATGTTCAACTAGTGAAAAGTCAGAGTGTTTTGTATGCTTACCCGTTCCTGCGCTAGATGTAGTAGATTCTGAACGAACAGTTGTAATTGATGCTGAACTAGAACTAGTTGTTGCTGGAAAACTAGTTGTGATTGAAGCTGAAATAACAGTTGTAATCTTTATTGGCCTGGTTTGAATAGTAGCTGCTATTGTTCGTGGTGTTATTAATGTCACTGGTATCGTTGTCGTTCTTGCTGATCCTGATCCTGAAGACGAGCCCGAACCTGATCCTGATCCGGATGACGAGTCCGAACCTGATCCTGATCCGAATGACGAGTCCGAACCTGATCCTGATCCGGATGACGAGTCCGAACCTGATCCTGATCCGGATGACGAGCCCGAACCTGATCCTGAACCTGATGACGAGCCCCAACCTGAATCGTTCGAGCTCCCTGCAATACATTTTTTCATCAACAAATGTCAAACACATCTAAACTGCAAAAAATTACTGCTTTCGATTTAAGTATCATGATATTAATGATATTCGTTTTAATGCAAGCTCATACTATATTAGTTGCTGTGGGTCGTGCGGCACTTGCAGGAAGCATTTTATCTTAAAATTTATATATATATATATATATATATATATATATATATATATATATATATATATATATATATATATATTCGATAAACCTTCGGTTGGTTAATCCATTTTGACTCCGTGAATTACTTCAAATAGTCGTTATAGTGCAATGTGTAATTAACAGTTCACGCACCTTCTGGGAACTGACAGACGAGGCCAACCGCCCTGCTGCTGCAGTTTACATCCTTCCAGAAGAAGCAGGGATCTGAAGTGGTTTCTCCATAACAATGATCAGTGAAATGAAGCTGCAAGCAGCCAGTTGGAGCTGGGCTGGGAAAGGGGTACATTTCCTCGGAACGTGGGTCATATCTAAAACCCCAGTTACTGAACATAATTGGATCACCTGTAGTGAGAGATTGTCGGCAGCAAATGAACAGCACAGAAAAGCTTGAAAGTAGACGAGACCTAAGCAAACATATCGTGGCGAACAGTATGTCCTTTGTGAGGCATGACGATGGATACTTTATATATGATATCCTGTGTGAGTTAGAAGGACGGGTACGTTATATATGATATCCTGTGTGAGTTAAGAGGACGGATACGTTATATATCATATCCTGTGTGAGTTAGGAGGACAGATACGTTATATATGATGTCCTGTGTGAGTTAGGAGGACGGATACGTTATATATCATGTCCCGTGTGAGTTAGGAGGACGGATACGTTATATATGATATATGAGTTAGGAGAACGGATACGTTATATATCATATCCTGTGTGAGTTTAGAGGACGGATACGTTTTATATGATATCCTGTGTGAGTTAGGAGGATGGATACGATATATATGATATCCTGTGTGAGTTAGGAGGACGGGTACGTTATATATGATATCCTGTGTGAGTTAGGAGGACGGATACGTTATATATGATATCCTGTGTGAGTTAGGAGGACGGATACGTTATATATCATATCCTGTGTGAGTTAGGAGGACGGGTACGTTATATATCATATCCTGTGTGAGTTAGGAGGACGGATACGTTATATATCATATCCTGTGTGAATTAGGAGGACGGATACGTTATATATCATATCCTGTGTGAGTTAGGAGGACGGTTACGTTATATATCATATCCTGTGTGAGGTATGATCGAGAGTGGATACCTTATAAATTCCGAGGAAGTAATTAAACTATACTAAAAGGGGGCACATAATAGATTTCATATGTAGGATAACAACAAAGTACAAGTGAAAGTGTCTTCTCACCATGAGCTGACCAAGTCCAGTTTGTTCTCGTGGCTCCAATCCAGAAGTCCTCCAATCCATCCTGTCCCAGTCTCTTGGCCATTCGTATAATATTACTATGGACAGCATTGTTGTGGACAGTGGCCAGGTCACCTTGAAGGTCCAGGTGACACTGTCTTCGTGCCTCGTACCACGTCTGAGAGCTGGTGTTCAGATGATAACAGACGCCCTCTGTAAAAAATTCGTTGGGTGCTTGGCACTCGTGCTCGTCAACTGAGGGAGAGAAGACGTTCCTGGTTAAGTATCGTGATGTTCCGTACAATTAAATTAAATTGAATTCTATTACCGTACAATTTTTATAGAACAGAATGGAGTGTTATTCAATTTGCTAAGTACACGGGATCAGGGAGGTCTATATTCTTTATAAAATGATTGAAAAATGATATGGAATGGCAGTTATCTAGGAACCGTAGTCCGTTCCCCATTACTTTGTACAGGTGACATTCGTCCCATATACTAACCCCAATGTTCCAACTAACTTTAACCTGTGCTTAGCATATGGGAGCCCGGTCGTTCAGGACTACGACTACCATTCCCGTCAGACCTGGCATGAGCACTTTCAGATATATAGCTAACATGTACTGATGTCCAAGACATTTTCCTCTTTGAAAAAGCTTCTCTGCACATTGTTTCACATGACCTATTTAAATTGTACAACATTGCCCTGTCTTAAATGTGAACAAGTACAAAAGCACTCACCAAAGCGCAGGCAGACAAACCACAAATAGTCCGTACACTCCCGGCTCGTCCACTGGTACTGTAGGTCCGCCTGCATAGCCACACATGCCTGTCTGGTCGTCCACCGAGACTGTGACGGTGCCCATCTAGACCAGCCTGCAGGGGAGAAATCATCTTGACAAAAATCATCTTAAATATCTTTAATGTACTTTTGGATTACCCAAGCCAACTTGAGCAATATAACAGATCGCAATGAGGTAAATTTCACTATAGTTCTTAAACTTTGATCCGATTATCTGAAGCGCGCGGTGAGAAACACTAAGGGAATTGTCCTTACCTCAGCGTTGACTGGTTCAGAACTAACCTAAGCCATGGCTCTCCCAGTGTTGACTGGCCCAATACAAACATAAGCCACGGCTATCCCAGTGTTGAGCGACCCAGTACTAACCTAAGCCATGGCTATCCCAGTGTTGACTGGCCCAGTACCAGGAAGTTGACATGTTCTGTGTTCCTCCTAGCCATGCACTGTAACTATGAAGCCATGGTGCCAAGTCCTGGTGTGTTTGTTGTAGTAGCCCCTCTAATGTCCATTCTGTTTTCCAGTCCTCCACGCTGGCTAAGTGGCCGCCCAGTCTCCGACAAGTCTTCCTGGCATCAAACCATGTAGAGTTTGGGTAGACTATGACCTGGTAGCACATACCATTGTGACACTTGGAGGCGCCTGTTAACAACATATTTTGGCTTAATTTTTTTTTAAAATTTAAAATTGTTAAACATTTAAAAATGTAACAGGTGCCAAATAAAAATCTTGCAACAGTGATGTCAGGCATAAGGAACAGTGATGTCAGAGATCAGGGACAGTGATGTCAGGGATCAGGGACAGTGATGTCAGAGATCAGGGACAGTGATGTCAGAGATCAGGGACAGTGATGTCAGGGATCAGGAA